TTTAAGAATTACAATGAAAAAAGATACCCAAATTCATCAGTCTTTAAAGTCATCACATTTGGCATCAAACTTTGACCAGACTTTTCAAAAACTAGAAGCAGGGTAATAAATATTTTCATAATTAGGTAGCTTTTGCTATATGTTATCTGGCTTATGTTGTATTAGTACAATCTAAAAGCAAAAATGATGAAATGGCTACTCGATGTTACTTCCTAGCAAAGGAGACAAGTTGTGGTTTCATTGTTCAACAAGTTTTTTATTTTTCAACATGTTTTCATCCTCTGACCAAGTTAAAAATCAGCTATAAATGCTCAGAAAGCTCATCACTCAGTAGATGAGTAGTAGAGATGTGAACGTATCTAATCAAAGGAAGAGGAAAAGTACAGGAGTGCATGAGAAGTGTAAGGTGAGGTTTAAAGGAAAGAGACTGCAAGGAGATGCTGTTCTCAGAACTTCAAGATCCCCTTGGGATATGAATCCTTTAACACAAATGATATGTCAGTAATTAAAGTTCTTTTAAACATCATTTACATCCTCACTTCTAACATAAAATCCTTTACAGTAACTATAAGACTCCATCACATGATTTTGTATCAGTCAGTACAGGTGACACAGCAAAAAAGATAACCACTATTCAATCATCACCTGGGAGATACTGTTAAATTTTTTAAAATATAATGAGTGGGTGGAAAGTTAGAAGGGAATTGTCTAGTGAAAAAGTGAAAAAGTCTTTCATACAGGACAAAACATGTTTTAATTCATTGTTGAAGGTGAAAGCTATTCACACACTACCCTGGTAGTTCAGCTGGTAAAGAATCAGCCTGCAATGCAGGAGATCCTGGTTCAGAACCTGGGTCAGGAAGATCTATGGAGACGGGATAGTCTATGCACTCCAGTATTCTTGGGCTTTTCTAGTGGCTCGGCTGGTAAAGAATCCGTCTGCAGTGAGGGAGACCTGGGTTCGATACCTGGGTTGGGAAGATCCCCTGGAGAAGTGAACAACTACCCACTCCAGTTTTCTGGCCTAGAGAATTCCATGGACTGTACAGTTCATGGGGTTGCAGAGTTGGACACAACTGAACAACTTTCACTTTCATTGCAGTAGCAAATTCATGCAGTTTGAAGATCTGCATATCACTTATCCCAGTCTTTTTTTAAATCATAAGTAACTTTGCCTAAAGAACAAATGCTCTGATAAACACTTATATGCTGATTGTGAGCACCACACTAGTACTTATTAAACCATGGTTTGAAGACGGAAACTTTTATCACTCTTCAACTGGTAATTTTTAAATATTGTTTTTATATTAATCAGTTGTTTTATCAAGTTAATCTGGATAGAGTTTTGATCAAAGATGGTGTGGATTTCTGATGTGTAATGAAATAAACCAGTTTTCAAATCTAAAATTCCTTTTTAACGAAGGTATTATGAAGCGACTTCACACACACACACTCATAACTACACTTCCCTGGTGGCTCAGTGGTAAAGAATCCGCCTGCCAATACAGGAGACACAGGTTACATCCCTGGGTCAGGAAGATCCCCTGGAGAAGGACATGACAACCCACTCCAGTATTCTTGCTTGGGAAACCCCATGGACAGAGGAGGCTGGTGGGCTACTGTCCATGGGGTCACAAAAGAATCAGACATGATTTAGTAACTAAACAACAAAAAACCCCACAACTACACAATATTGTATTTTTGAGGATCTGCTCTCAGGGTCTACAGAATATAAATAATGATTTATTTATGTGATGTTTATCTTTCCACTAAAGTGCATTTAATGAAGAGATGCTGCATTAACTATTTTCCAGATTTCAATTCAAACACACATTTACTGAGCACCTGCAAGGGTCAAGTCTTTCTGGAATGTACAGGATCCCGCAAAGGTGAGTGAGACTCCTTCTGCTTTAACATCTCACATTCCAGAAGGCAAGCTAAGATACACGCTTAAAGAACAGTAATATAAATAGAATGTGAGAAATGCTAAAAAGAGATATATGAACAATTGTCAAGGGAACATAAAAGGACCAGAGATTAACAGCTGCTAAACCCAAGTTCAGTTCAGTTGCTCAGTCATGTCCAACTCTCTGCAACCCCATAGACTACAGCATGCCAGGCTTCCCTGTCCATCACCAATTCCTGGAGCCTACTCAAACTCATGTCCATCGTGTCAGTGATGCTATCCAACCATCTCATCCTCTGTCATCCCTTTCTCCTCTGCCTTCAATTTTTACCATCATCAGGGTTTTTTCCAATGAGTCAGTTCTTCACATCAGGTGGCCAACATACTGGAGTTTCAGCTTCAATATCATACTTCCAGTGAATATTCAGGACTGATTTCCTTTAGGATAAACTGGTTGGATCTCCTTGCAGTCCAAGGGAGTCTCAAGAGTCTTCTCCAACACCATAGTTCAAAAGCATCAACTCTTTAGTGCTCAGCTTTCTTTATGGTCCAACTCTCACATCCATACATGACTACTGGAAAAACCATAGCTTTGACTAGATAGACTTTTGTTGGCAAAGTAATGTCTCTGCTTTTTAATATGCTCTCCAGGTTGGTCATAGCTTTTCTTCCAAGGAGCAAGTGTCTTTTAATTTCATGGCTGCAATCACCACCTGCAGTGATTTTGGAGCCCCCAAAAATAAAGTCTCTCGCTGTTTCCATTGTTTCCCCATCTATTTGCCATGAGTGATGGGGCCAGATGCCATGATCTTAGTTTTCTGAATGCTGAGTTTTAAGCCAACTTTTTCACTCTCCTCTTTCACTTGCATCAAGAAGCTCTTTAGTTACTCTTCACTCTCTGTCATAAGGGTGGTGTCATCTGTGTATCTAAGGTTATTGATATTTCTCCTAGCAGTCTTGATTCCAGCTTGTGCTTCATCCAGCCTGACATTTCGCCTGATGTACTCTGCATATAAAATAAATAAGCAAGGTGAATATATACAGCCTTGATGTACTCCTTTCCCTATTTGGAACCAGTCTATTTTTCTATGTCTTGTTTTAACTGTTGCTTCTTGACTTGCATACAGATTTCTCAGGAGGCAGGTCAGGTGGTCTTGTTTTCCCATCACTTTTAAGAATTTTCCACAGTTTGTTGTGGTCCATACAGTCAAAGGCTTTGTTGTAGTCAATAAAGCAAAAGTAGATGTTTTTCTGGAACTCAGTTGCTTTTATGATGATCCAGCGGATGTTGGCCATTTGATCTCTGGTTCCTCTGCCTTTTCTAAATCCAGCTTGAACATCTAGAAATTCACAGTTCACATACTGTTGAAGCCTGGCTTGCAGAATTTTGAGCATTACTTTGCTGGCGTATGAGATGAGTGCAATTGTGCAGTAGTTTGAACATTCTTTAGCACTGCCTTTCTTTGGGATTGGAATGAAAGTGCCTACTTGAGAAAGAAAAGGGCTCAAAAGGCTTCTTGGAAACAATGCATTTAAATTGCAGGGGTGCATTTTCTAAGTCATACATCAGTCTTCTTTAAATATAGTTTCCTTGCAGCTGCATCTAATATTTATCTCACAGATTTGGGATATAAGGAGTTTCATATAACCTAAATCTTTATGCAGTTACAAAACAGTAAAATTATTATTATATCATTATTTTTGCTATGTCCACAGCCCTGTGCCAAGCACTACTAAGATTGTAAAAGCTGTGCCAGTGTTGCTTTGAAAATCTCAGACATATGGGATAGGTAGAGACAAAATACTACAAAACACATAAAGATGAATAATACAAGGAAACAGATAATTGGTGTTGCTGGTGACTTTCTATACTCCCCATAGATTAGCCAACAACAGGGCCCCAGGTATAGACTTCTGCATGGGCCCAGCATGCCAGGCAAGAGCCTCCATTTATACTCTGGCTCCAAGTAAAAACCACAAATATTAAGGGTGGGCCTATTATTCACCTGAGGACTCATAAAACAGTTGCAAGATTTCTCATGCCCATCTTTAAAGCAGGAATCCCAAGATACTCTATTGTACTGGATGTTTTCAAAGAGACTAGGAAAACAAAAACGAATACCAGGTTGACTCTTCAGTTCATTTGATGTCCTCTAATAACATCACAGGCTACTGCTTATCTAACAACTGTTAAATAATGCATTTTTTTATATAACAGATCACTGAAGGTGAGAAGTAACCTTATTCCACACTGTAAGTATTTGAAAATCCACAAACCTGTGTTGGACACATAATATGTGCCAGTTTGTTTCCTATTTTAGATCTTATCCTGAAAAGAAAATTAAGCCCCTCACTTTTTTTAACATGAAAAGAGGTTTTCATGAAATGACCATCTGCTCCCCAAAGCTACCTACATTGCCTTAAGTCTCCAGTAGTGTTAAGTGGAGCAAGGTGGGGGAAGTAAGGAGCAGAGGTGACTGGAGTGAATACACACAAGTCAAAAACCCTAAGTGTTTCCTGGGTCTGCTTCCCTTTCAGCAGCTGAGATTACTCATAGTCCATGTGAACAACATAGAGTGCCCAGAACTACTCTGAGGAACTCTGCAGGGTTTGTTTTAAAACTTGCCTCCCTGAGCCTACCGGCTTCCTGAAAGTTTAATGCTCCGGGGAACTGCATCAACTCAGGAAGCGAAGCTCCCCTTTAGGGTATTGAAGCAAACGATTACATAGTGATGGCCAAAGTGTCAGAAGGAGTTAATGTACCCTCCCAAAGTGTCCAAGTCTTACAAGAGACTGTCTTCAGAATATTGGTCCCAATGAGCAGGAATAGATTCATAAAGCAAAGTGAAACTAAAAGAATGTAAAGAGAAAGAAAGGAAAAGAATGGCCCAAAAGATACACTTGAGTAGAATAATGTTTAGCTTAATAAATAATGCACATCATAAAATATGTATTTATTTAGTAAACATCTAGTATATATACCACAATATCAGTCACAGAAATCGCCCTGGTTTTGCAACTGAATAATAAATATAGCACCTTAAAATATCTGACTGCCAACTTGGATAAAAGAATGAAGCCAGCACATACTGACCTCAGACTCCACAGCCTTCTCCTGCCTCTGGGGAAGAAGACACAGCGGATGCTGAGTGATGAGGCCGTGGAAGTAGCCGCAGCACACTGAGGCTCTGAATAATGGATATCCTTGGTGGAGGCTGCAAGTCGCCATGGGAGGAGAGGAAGGTGATGAAGAACCTTAAGGGTCTTGCTGTGACCAGGGGAAAAATCAAGAGAGATTGGCAATAAATCTTTCAATACCCAAGAAAACTGGCTACCAAATAAAGGATTTCATCCATTTTAGCAGAAAAGCATTTATTCTCTTGCTGTATAGTCGCTCATGTGAAATGAATATATTAATGGTATTAGATCCAGTCTGAGAAAAATAGACCGATATCACCCATTTGAAACCATTAGTTGTTTAACCCTGGCTTGCAGATTAGCACAAATTAATTGACAGAGCGGGCTCTTCCGGGAATGTTCAGAATGCTTTCCAAATAGTTCAACTGAGACACTTTATTGATCATAAAGGGTTCCTAATGCAAATGGAGGAATGCTGAGGTGGCACTATTGTCGACAATAGGCTGCAGTTTACAGCGATAAACTCCCCGTCTCCTATCAAGCCTTCAGCACGCTGTTCACTGAGCAGCCCTTATCTTCAAACGCTGACACATGTAATCTAACATTCTCACTTTGCCACAGTCAGAGCAATTGCTTGACAATATGATTACAATTTCCTGTCAGCTCACGCATGGAATATTTCTGTAAGCTTTCAACAATTGCAAAATATTTTGATTTTGAAATGATAGTAATCCATGAAGAAGAAAAAAGTCTTCAAAATATTGATTTCTTATAAGAAATCAAGATCTGCATAAAGGAAATTGCTTAAGTATCTATGGGTTTCCCTGGTGGCTCAGAGGTTAAAGCGTCTGCCCGCAGTGTGGGAGACCTGGGTTCGATCCCTGGGTCGGGAAGATCCCCTGGAGAAGGAAATGGCAACCCACTCCAGTACTCTTGCCTGTAGAATCCCATGGACGGAGGAGCCTGGTGGGCTACAGTCCACGGGGTCGCAAAGAGTCGGACACGACTGAGCGACTTCACTTAAGTATCTATGCATAAGGATGTGTTGGAGTACAGAGAGAAGGGGAGACTATCATAATATGACGAAAAAGACAAGGACTTGGGTTGTGGATACTACTGAAGGAAGCAGTTTGTTACAGAAAAACCACCATCTGTGGCCAATGGCCTGATGGAGGTAACCGAATCACCTGTTAGTCCAGCGTAGAATGCATGTTTCTGAATGTCATTTCAAACACCCTCTTCTTCCTTCAACCCAATAAAGTTTACTCATTGGTAGAAATCTTGGAGGAAATGGAAATGAAAAAAGAAATGTCATCACTTAGAAGGCAAATATCTTTTAGTTTAATAAATAACATGTGTATGTATTTAAACAAATTAATCTCAAACACTGAAGATCATACATTTCCGGAAGAATTTTTGCCCCTTACTCTAAATTGGAGAGAGAGTTTTTCACTAATTGAGTAAGGCTGGCTCCTTGTGACCCCGATAGAGATATGAAATAGGGTTTATCTGAATTGTTGACCTTTCCCACTGAAATGAGAATGTGCTAAAGAAAGACTTCCACATTCTTTTTTGTTCCCTCAGAAACAAGTCATTCAAATAATTACTACCAGCATTTTAGGCACTTCTACTGGATGGTCTCTGGGTTGGGAAGATCCCTTGGAGAAGGAAATGGTTACACATTCCAGTATTCTGGCCTGGAGAGTTCCATGGACTGTATAGTCTATGGGGTCACAAAGAGTTGGACATAACTGAGTGATTTTCATTTCACTGGATGGTAGTTGTCTACCACATAACACAAAATGGAAATTATTTCCGCAAATGAATAATATAGAAGTGGGCAAAGGATTAGACTGAAAAAATCATGGAATTTTAAATGGAGGAAAATCTCTGAAATGAAAACCTATTACTGTAGCCCTTTAGCTGAGGGTAATTTATAGGTAGACCAGTAAAACATGTGTTCCTCAATAATACAATCAATCACTTTACCTGGAATCTAGCCACTCAGCAATGTAACGCTCTAGTATGAATCTAAATTCTTTTTCTAGCTGCTATTAGTCAAATAGCTTTTAATGACTTCTACTATTAGACGACAGTTAGGGCTATTTAAATCTATAATTTGTCCCACATTTCTTCTTAAACAGGCATGGAATATACATGCTGATATTGCTAACACTGCATATATTCAGAACAGGGAAGGCAAAGGGTCAAAAGACATGGACTTTGAAAGCATTAATAATTCAGAAAGAAAAATATCTGCCACTAACATTTTTTTTCATTCCTGTAATAAAGTATGATAAAGTAAACTTCATCCTTTTAGTGTACCACTCTGTGAGTTTTGACAAACACATACAGTCATGTCACCATGATCATAATCAAAATATGGAACAGCTTAGTGAAAGGAATTCAACCATACATATACATGTATCCATTTGTTCACCTGAAACTATCACAATGCTGTTAACCAGCTATTAACCAATTAAAAAAAAGTTTTTGGTGTTAAAAATAAAATAAAAATAATTTTAAAAAAAAGAAAGGGAGGAAAAATGGAACAGTTCAATAATCTCCTCAAATTTCCTCCTGCCCCTTTATAATCAACCGCTTCCACACACTCTGTCCTTGGCAACTACTGATCTGTTTTCCATCCCTATAGTTTGTTTTCCAGAGTGTTACATCAGTGGAATTTTGTAGTATAGGGTCTATTAAGTCTGTGATCTTTCACACAGAAAAATGCAACTGAGATCTATCCATGCTGTTGTTTTACTAGGAGTATATTCTTTTTTCACTGAGTAGTATTTCATTGATTGGATGTACCTCAGTTTGGATTGACTCCAGTTTTCAGTGATTACTAATGAACCTACTATGAATATTAACATATATATTTTTGTGTAGACATAAAATTTCATTTGACTTGGGTAAATACCTAACAGCAGTGTCACTGAATTGTATGATAAGAGTATATTTAACTTTACAAAAAACTGCCAACTGTTTTGAAAAGCAGCTGTTCCATTTTGACTTGCTATAAACAATGTATGGGAATTTCAGTTGCTCCACAGCCTTGTCAGCAGTTGGAATCTTTATTTTGTATGTTTGTTTTAGCTATTCTATTAAAATTGCTGTGGCATCACAGTGTGGTTTTTAACTTGCATTTTCCTAATAACAATGTTAAGCATCTTTTCATGTTCTTATTTGCCATTCCTATATTTTCTTTGATGAAGTGTCATTGTAAATCTTTTGCTCATTTTTTTAAAGATTGGGTTTATAGTTTTCATATTACTGCCTTCTGAGAGTATTTATGTAAACTGGATACAAGTCTTTCATCACATATGTGATTTCAAAAATTTTTCCCAGTTCATAGTCTATGTCTTTTAATTCTTTTAGCAGTGTCACACATAGGGCAAAAGTCTTCATTCTAATGCAATTCAATTTATCAATCTTTTTTTTTTCCTACTAGGGATTGTGCTTCACATATTATATCTAAGAAATGTCTGCTTAATCCAAGATCACAAATGTTTTCTCCTATGTTTTCTTCTAGTCTATAGATTGTTCATGACAATCTTGTTTAAAATATATATAACATTAATGAATTTCAATGATATCTGAGTAAAAAGAATAGACTATTATTTTTTTAATTTAGAAGAATACTGAATTTCATATTTTATATATTTGAAATTTATGAAATCAGAATCTCTCCCCTAAAATATAAAAAAATCACACACTACAAGAGTCATTTGTTCATTCATTAATTAGTCAAGTATTTATTAATACTTGATTATACTTGATAATAAATAGCCTTACTATTAATTAATAGCCTTACTATTTTCCAGTTACTCAGTTAGATGGTGTGGTAATAGAGTTAAAGATGTAGTTGATCCTTTCCCTCAAGAAGTTCTGCATCTGTGTCCTATATCACATCCTTATATAGAATAGAGAAAGTGAGTGAAAACATCCTAGCATAGTATGATATAAACAAGAATTAGGGTGGTGACCAGAAGCCATATAAGTGAAAAGCAGGACTCAACCCAAAATGATAGAGCACCCATGAAAGGAAGGAGATAAAACTTGTAGCCCTGAGGAGCACACAGTTTGGTGGAGGAGATGAAAATGTAAATACATAAATAATTAGTTCATTACCAACATTCTAAGTGCTATGAAAGAAAGTTACGGAAAATGAAGACAATACATAACAAGATATAATTATTCTATGTAGTTAACAGAAGACAGTCCTAACAGTGTAACATGCAAACTGGAATCTGAGTGTAATTAGAAATTATCCTAGAATAAAAATTCAACATTCCAGATTGAGGAAATTGCACATTTAAAGACCCAAATACTAACTATAATAAGACACTGATGCAAGAAATTAAAGAAAACACAAATAAATGGAAAGAAATCTCAGATTCATTAGTTGAAATAATTAATGTTATTAAAATGTCTATAATACCCAAAGTTATCTATAATAGTCAATAAAATCCCTATCAAAATTCCAATAGTATTTTTCACAGAAACATAAAAAAAATCCTACAATTTGTATGGAACCACAAAAGACCCTAAATAGCCAAAGCAATCCTGATAAAAAAGAACAAAGCTGGAAGCATCACACTGCCTGATTTCAAACTATACTATAAAATTATAGTATATAGTAATCAAAGTAGTATAGTACTGGCATAAAAATAGGTGCATAGACTAATGGAAATGTAATCAAGAGCCAAGAAATAAACCCACACACATATGGTCAACTAATATTTGACTAGGGAGCCACTAAGACTCTCAGAGGAGAAAACAGTCTCTTTAGTAAATGGTGATGAGAAAACTGAATATCCTATCCCAAAGAATGGAACTGGAGTCTCTCCTAAATCATATGCAAAAATTAAGGAAAAAAGTATGAAAGACTTAAATGTAAGTCCTGAAATCATAAAACTCCTAGAAGAACATAGGCAAAAAGTTCCTTGACATTGGTTTCAACAATAACTTTTTAGATATGACACCAAGAATGCAAGCAACAAAAGCAGAAATAAACTAGTATTACTTTTGTTGTCTTGTCGGGGTTTTGTTTGTTTGTTTGTTTTTTGGTCGTTGTTTTTAGTTGTT